TTTATGTTCAGGAACAAAATATTTTTCAGAAATTTTAAATTTGAACAATTTTCTTTTTAAATTCTGAGCTTTAAAAATAACTATACTTGGCAAAATGTTCAAGTTACTGGATCGAAGACACATATTCTTTGTGACGGACATTTCGTATTTTCCAAGGCATTGTCCAAGATCACAGATATTTTTTGTTTATTGATTTATTTGATAAGGCTCAAATGAATTAACTTTACAGAGCCGAGGATTCTTGGTCACTATACAATACATCTTAAAACTATAGTCAAAAGGTACAACACAATAAAGACTTTATCTTCCGCTATCCAAAAAGCCTCCTCCATCAGAACGGGATCTGCTTCCAGTAGTTTCATTGTATGGCAAATTGTTGTACGCCAACGAGGGTCAGAGCGCGTCCATTGTAGCAATGGACGCAAAACGTGGTCAGCACTCACACACTCATCACGAAACGGTTGCTTTCCAAAGTCGACGACGCATCGACCGAAAGAACTGCTGATGAAGAATAATGAGGAGGACCACACAATGGTTGCTGCCGAGAAAACAGACGATCGCGTAGCACACATCGAGAGTGGCCTGCTTTTGTCGACAGCCGAGTGAACACTGTCGATCACAGATATGAAAAACATCAATATTAAGAACCTTGTGTTATTTTCGAGGCTCATGAAATTTGATGATAATTTCTAAGGAACTCATTCCAAGGGAGTTCTGGGAAGAACTGTGAAGAAAACTTTAAGTGCAATCTGCTTGTAAGGTAGGCCTGAGGAACTCCAGAATCCATATGAAACCTGAATACCAAGGTAGTTCTGACTAGAATTCCAAGTAAACCCTGCATGGGATTCGAAGAAAATTTTAACGAAAATGTATTGGAATTTCAGAAATTAATCCCTAAGAAATTCAAAGAATTCCAAAAACATTCTGAGGAGAATTTCAAGAAGTTTCAGGGAGAAAAAGAATACGGAGCATAATTCCATGGGAAGTGGGGGGGGGGGGGGTGGGAGTAGTACTGTGACGATATCGATAAGTCCGATATTATCGATAAATATCGTGTATAAATTATCAACAATAATCGAAATTCGATATCGGTCAGATGTTAATAATCATCGACATGGTTCTATCTCCAGTTGAAGGATCTGGTAACGAAGAATTTGTTCGTGACGAGCCATTGAGAAAGATCTCTACCGCTAATTTGGTATGGAGTTAGCACGAGGGAATGGTTCAACGCAATAATATAATCGAAGTGGACGGCTAACTTCATACGAAAATTGATATGTAGGTACGCAAGGAGTGGTATCGAACTAATGACATGTGCTATTTTAGGGTACTTATCTAACAAGTAAGAAGAGTATACATTCTCATATTTGTTCCTGGTGGCTCTGAAACTTCTGTCAAATATTACAACATCGGTCACTTGGGAGCGTTGGTTTTCGAAAACACGGCGAGTTTTGAGCGATGGAAGCTCAAAGAGTGGACAGAATATTTTTGTTTGTGTAATATCGATTTTTAATATTCCAAATGCATGATATATGTTTAATGTATTTTCCATTAGATATTGGATCCGATATCGATACTCAAAATCCGATTCAAAGGATTTCGTACTGAGGAACATTTTAAGATAATTCCGAAGAAAGTTCCATGAGAATTGAATTCCGATGATGATTCTAATGACATTTCAAGGATCATTTAAAAGTAATTATAATGAAAACTGCTCAAAAAATATTGAAGAGGGTTAGTGTTTGTTATTGAAGTTTTAATCACTTTTTTTAGATTGTTTACCCAAAATTACAAGAAGTTTTTTACCGCGTATATTGTCATGAAAAGTAATTCTAGCGTTCAGAATCATAAGGGTCTAACTGCGATGATCGATTCTCTTCATCGATTTTCTCTTCGCATTACTACAGTTAAGTGAACCAATTCTCGCGCAACACGAGAATAGGACCTATCATTGTTGATCGATTCTCTTCATCGATTTTCTCTTTGGCGAATAACCCGACTGCAAATGAATTTTCCATTGAGTGTGTTGTTTCAGGCGCAAGCTAACACCATCTTCTGTCGAACTGCGATGCGAGCTTAGCGAGAAATTCGTTTATGTTGTCTTGGTAAACCAAAGAGAAAATCGATAAAGAGAATCGATCAACGAGGATAGGCCCTTTTCAAATGTTACGCGAGAATTTTCCGAAATTTTTCCAGTACAGTGTACTAAAAGAAAACTAGCAAAAGCAACATTCAAAGCACCGAAAAAATTTAAACCTGCCAAGTTATTAACAAATAAATAAACAGAATCGATCATCGCAGTTAGGCCCTTATGATTCTGAACGCTAGAATTATTTTTTACTAAACTTTGTCTCAGACGTCATTTCGATTGAAAGTGATGTTTTCGAGTACGTAATTTTTAAATTTTTTGCCAGATTCAAAATGTCCGAATTTTAGCGCAAATGTGAATGATTGACCATAACGAACAATTATGCAAGGTCGTATCAGATCGATTCGTCATTTGGCGTGGAACTGAACTATATTACTTTTGGAGTTTTAATGGTAATTTTGGCGATTTAAGGCAATTTGGTGTTTCTGCCCGACGTACAGCCTGCGGGTCAAATCAGACCCACGCACAGTGGGACAAAATCAAAAAAAGAGGGACATGGCTATTTGCGAAGAAACTATTGAGTGTAGCATTTTGATTTCTTTTAGAATGAGTCTTCATTTTTTTTGAGCACTTTAATTGAGAAGTGAACATTTTTGATTAAGGGAGGTATATACTAAGATAAAAAAATAACTTGTTGAAATTGATGAATAACTATGGAAACATTGTAGATGAAGTCATTTTAAGAAACTTTGTCTAAGACGTGCATTTTCTATCTCTCAAGTGGACGAAGTTATAGGGTGAAAATGGAGCACTAACGCTAGTACCCCCTTAGAAACCGATTTTTTACCATAACTACACCCCTATTAAGCAAAAAAATTTGAAGAAACATTCTAGAAAACATCAAAATACTACACTCAATAGTTTCGTCGCAAATGGCCATGTCCCTCTTTTTTTGATTTCGTCCCACTGTGCCACGGTCTTGTTTTGTCTGGCCAGCGATTAGTTTGAAAAAAAAAACATCCCGTAGACTGTTCTATCTAGCTGATGAATCTCGATTCATGAAAATTTATGAAAAATCGGACAAGGCCACAATGTATCAAAAATTAACCAATCGATTTTTCAAAAATGTTAAAACACTTAAGGCCGATTTTAGCGCTTGAAAATTTAGTTTAAGTCTTAAGCGAAGGGGAAGAAATCGGTGTTTTTTCTGTGTCCAGGATTTCTACATATTGAATGACGAATTTATTCCCTAGAATTTTATCCGTAAAACTCTTGAAAATGTTCTGCAGAACATTCTCTAAACTTACTCTGCAATGCTATTCATATTATTAATAATTCTTTACCAAGCAATTCCAAAAATAATCCTGAATAAAATCACACGGAGTTCTCCTTAGCATCCATTTAGTATTCTCCAGACATTACCATAGGAATTTCTTCATACTTCTGCTCAGAATTCCCATTAATTCTTTGAAATGCTACTCATAGTTTCCAAGGAACTCTCTTTAGATTTTTCTAAAAAATATCACCGGAATAATATTATCATTGGAATACTCCTTGGAATTCCTTTGAAATTTTCCTCAAAATTTTGATGGAACTATCTTCGAAAATTGGAATTCATTTCCCTTGGAATTACCTTAAAATTTTCCTTAGAATTCTTTTGGAATACATACTCCTAAGAAATCAAATTATATGCAATTATTTTCATACTTTCCGTTGAATTCACTTTAGAATTCCCATTGAATTTAATTTGTTTGATATTCCTGCCAAAACTCTCATGGAATTCCATTGAAGTTCTTCTGGAATTATTATCAGTTTTAATTGTAATGCTACTTCTACCCTCTACCCTTTAAGTATTCTCCAATAGTTCCAATGGAATTTTGCTTTGAATTATTTTTCATCGAGAAACTTCTTGAGATTATCCTCAGAATTCCCATGATTTTTTTCCTTTAAATAGCCTTGAAGATCTCTGCAAAATAATTTGTTGTGGAATCACTCCGAAAAAACTCTTAACTTATCATCAATAATTTCCCATGGGATGGTAGAAAACTAAACGCCAATATTTATAATATTTATAAACCAAGACTCATTAGTTTTCCCCCGGCAATTCTGGTTTGCATAATTCTTCCATATCGGGTCAAGTATGTACCAAAAAGCCTCCTCTGAACGGGTCTACATACCATTTTGGTACCGTACCTATTTGGCACAACCATACTGAGCCAATCGATAGCCATTGCCCGGAAGCTACTCCACTAAAACAAACCTCTAGATTTTCAAATCAAATTATAAACAACCTTGTCGTGTCCAACCCATCCAGAAGGGCAGAAAAAATGCACTTCCTTCTTTGAACGTTTCCATTTATTGCACAGCCTTTCTTCCTCATTAGCAGCTGATTTGATTTTTCCGCCTGGCATCATCGGCGCGCACACATTCCGCACTGTAGCGATGTGTTTTATTTTTATAAATGCACACACTATCTTCCTTCTCCGCTCGCATCATGCTTTTATAACACTAACATACAACACTCACACCCATTTAGCCGAGAAATAATATTATTGTTGTCGGCGGTTTCGATTTTCGTTTTATTTTCGTATGCTTCGCCTTCTCCAATCTGCTGGCCTGCAGTTTGTACAACGCAACCGGCATTCAGGGCCGGTCAGACAAACAGCACCAATACCAGCTTTTTACGGCAACACTTTGCATCGATTTCGGTTTTCGCATCATGCTCTGCTTCCCGATGCTAAGCACTTGAACAAAAACGAGGTTTCTTCTCCGTGTTTCTTCGCCTTCTTCGAAGGACTTTTCACCATTCTTGCTTGATCCGTTCCTTCGCCTTCATCGCGTTGCGCAGATGTTTCGTATCACGTTCCTTTCTTTTCGGTTCTCGCATGGGTGGAACCCAAATAAAACTTACCGGCTCGTACGTTGACATCCCGCGAAATGATCGATCCAAACTGGTTCTTGGCCATACAAGCATAGACCTGGGCGTGCACGTCCTGACGGTAGTCTTCGGCGCGGAACGGTGGGAACACCAGGTTTCCATTCGGTAGGATTTGCCGCAGTCCGGGTACTTCTCCAACGGCCGTGCCGTCGCTTCGGATCCAGATCATTTCCGGCGGGGGGTTTCCAGTGGCACTGCACTCCACAACGGCTCCGGTCGAGTTGGAAAAGTCGATACGATTGGTCGGTTCCTTCAGGAAGACGGGACCCTTTGAGTCGTCCACCTTGGAAGCCGCTTGGACCGCTATGTGGGGAAATTAATTGAAAACGATTAGTGATCCGAACACATAATCATACTCCCAACTCAGAAGTCCCCAAATTAGGGGAAGTCCAATCCAGGAACACTTGCTTCCTCAACCACAGGAACGCAAGCATGGTAGTAAATATACGTTTCGAATCAACTAACCATTTAAGCAATTGAAGCCACTTAGCAGAACCATACACACTAGTGCGAACATTGTCGCCGTATCTCCACGGCACCGAGTCATCGCGGAAAACGACCTCTTCACTTTTAGCACTTTATCTGGGTTTGGTCCAATTAAATTATTCCGAGCACTGCACACTGCACAATCTTTGTATTATTCCTTGCTTCTTTTCACTGTCTTGTCTGTACGTGGTTTTAAAAAATCTCTCCCCAAAGGGGAGACGAAAGATTGATATTTCCTGTTGTAGTACTTCCAAAGCAGAGACTAGCACGCTAAAGATACACAACGACGGCGACGACGGTATGGTTGCGCGACGCACGCGACGGCGACGACGGGGTGTGGAAAACAGACGACGACCGACGTTTTCCCTTTATCCTTGCGTTCTGACAGATAAGGGTGCTACCGCGAGCCACCCCCCAAATCGAATTGGGGTGCCACCTAAAACCTGAAAGAAAGACAAAAACGACCCCATTAGCCATCAGTTTTCAAATTTTTACACCTTAAGCCATCATTAATCGTGCCATCTTCAACCCATATCACAATTTTCCTGAGAAAATCCCTGATCCTGATTTATTGATCGAGGGAGGAAAATTTTTCACTCCCCAACACTCAGTCACAGCCAGGACATACGGGCAGTCATTTTCCATGATGGACGCACATCCCAAAACCGAACCCGTGGAAAAAACGCGTTTTCCACCGGAAAACTTACCTTTCGCGACCCGGATCAATAAAAGTATGCTTCAAACGGCCTTTATTCACCACAATTACCAACAATCGACGGATTTAGCACTATTTTTCACCTGGAAAATTCAATCGAAACGCGACGTACGGGTTCGATACTTCCGAACTCCTTTGACGGGCTCCAGCATCTATTTACTGCTGCTTGCTTGCAATGGAGCATAGCTGTCAGAGCGACGATGAGCGTCCAGCATTATGTTGCGACGCCGCGTTGGTGTGTGTGTATGCAAGCTGGAAAGATAGAGGGAGTGGACAGTAATGTTTTGAAGCAGCGGTTGGAATGTTGCACATGTTGATGCTAATGCATCGTTTGCGATGTTGCACGTGGCTGTTGCCAACTCTGGCGAAATAAATATGAATTAGCAGTGTGGTTGACCAGGACATAGACCTTGATTATTATGTTGAACCCGCCCTAATAAAAATAACCATAAAAGAGAAATACTCAGAGGGAGAGATGGGCGGAGAAAACAAAATACAATTCGGCAGCAGGGATTTGTACCTAAATAATCTTGCAACCCTTGCTAGAAGCTAGCATTTCACATGACTGTTACTTTTGATTCAATTTACGTGCAAATTAATAATTGATTACATCGCAATATTTTGCACATTTCTTTGTGCCATTAATTAACCAACTAAAATCAATTAATCAATAGAGTTATAATGTTGTTTTTTATTCAAAAAAAACTAGTTGAATTTGAGAAACACACGAAACATAGAGGTGATTGAATTTCTGTTCGGTTGTAATACTCTCAAATTTAATCTAGTAAGAATAAAAAAATCTAATGGGAATGTTCCATTGGCTCAGATTTTGACAGTTCATTTGGCTCAAAATATTACTTCCGCTAATCTCTTCCTCTGAGTATTTCTATTAACGACGTGTTCGGGGTATCATCAAAACCATTTGTGGGATAGTTTACCGGTTTACCCATCCGGGATACAGTTCATTTGTGTTATTTGTTTATTAGGGCGAGGTTGAGCAACAGTCCGATCGCCACAGTCTGGAAAATCTTAAATTTGAAGGAATTATAATTTTCCTAATTTTCCGATGTCTACACTTAAAAAATTCTATACGTACACGACAAATAAGAACGACCCAAATTTGAGTTTGGTTCACTCATAATCGTCAAAAGTGCAGGAACTCAGCGATGAGTAAATTTTCCTCTTGGTTTCCTGTGAAAAACCTCAAAAATCTACCGGAAAAAGAGGAAATCGACGAATATTTTGTTCAGTCTAGGAGTATTACCAATAGACTGCGTGAATCCAATCTTTACTTTTCTCATATTCGGGAATTTTTTCCTGAAAAAATCTTCACTCCTAAAATTCAACACATTTTTATTGGCGAATTTCCATGTAAAATTCCATGTCCACACAGGCATCTAGACCTATGTGTGTGCTTATGTGCTCACTCTCAAAGGGGCCTTCAGTCAGGCTGAAATGCACAACTGGTTGATGAACAGTATCCCGGAAATACCGAAAAATATTTATGGAAACCAAAGGAATCGGCTCTATTTCCGTCGAGTCTTCATCTGAACGGTAGTGATTTGTGAATATGGCAAGGCGGAAGCGAACTTAAGAAGCGACAATATTTCTACCATTTCGATTCTGAAGGGCTTTATTACGAAGGAAGCCACCAAGAAACGGATCAAGCTTGAGATTTCAACCAGGGTTACTTCCACTCACTTGCTATAAAAAAATGTTTTTCAGAATTATGAAATCACGAGATGGTATAGTGATAATTAGTACTTGTAAGTTACAAGATGAGGACGGAAATATGTGTTTGACACATAAAATCTGTCAATATTGCTTTCAGTGCGTCACAAACAGCGATTTTACGACTCGTGAGTGCTCACTCTGAGTGAACGCTCACGAGTCATAAGATCGCTTATTGTGACGCTCTGAAAGCGAAATTGACAGGTTTTATGAGTCAAACACATACTTTACACCCTCTTCTCGTTACCTACAAGTACAACATATCATTATGTCATCTAATGATTGCATAATTCCGAAAAATATAATTTTATAGCTAGTGAGTGGAAGTAACCCTGATTTCAACCAATAAGTAACAGCTTTCAACACATTCGATTTGATTGATAACAGCGTAGCACCATAGAGGTAACTCTAAGACAAGTAGGTCCCGAAGAAACGTGCTCAACTTTTTGGCTCACCTCTGGTACTATCTTCGGTCCCAAGCTTGTCGAATTACCCCTCGAAACATAGGAAAAACCAATAACCCCTCATTTTATCTGTCAAACTTTCATAGCGAATCAAAACAAACATTGCGTAGTACTAGAATTTCGACTAGAATAGGGTACGTTAATCGTTTGCTTGGGACCAATAGGCTACTAAAGTGGTGAGCCAATTTAAAATCGTTAGTTTCGTATTGATTGTTGGTAGCACCCATTTTCAGAAATCAACGGGCAAACCCTTCCCGGATTAATCAAGTTGATCGAGCCGAAGATCGTTCACTACAACAAGCTGACGAAGGACTGCCAGATACTGCAGGCACTGATCGATTTGAACATGCGAAACGATGAACCGCATCTACGGGATTCTGACCGATCTGTACATCGATAAGTTCAATTTCAAAGAGGTCAATGTGAAGACGAAACTGCCGCAGTTGATAGACCTGCTGGAGAATTATAATTTATGACGAGTTGGTCAATTTCTACAGTGTCGTGAAAGCGATTGATCATGAGTAAATGAATTGCTATTTTAAATAAATCTACATTTCGGGGACACATTTCGGATGAAGACAAGTCGATCGATCACCTTAAAGGTCTAAATATTCATTCTTTTTTTTTTTAAATAACACACCAATTCCCCTGGTCATAGTAACAATCTTCCACCACAAACGAAGTGACAGAAAATTTGGTGACTAACTTGCTATTTAAATTTTTCAGTGTACCACATGGCAACACCACTACTACTGGATTGAACCACATGGCAACACTACTACTGGATTGTACTAGCATTTTCACCAAATGTATTAGAATGTTTTGGTTCTATCTCTTTCACTCTACTCAAAACTGAAATGCATAAAAAAATGACAAAATGATACACTCTTTGCACACTGTCAAAGAATCATTGTACACAAAATCAACTTTGTTCAAATCAAAACAAAAAAAAAACTAACCCATCTGGTGGATGATGGCACAAGCTTCCAAGAAAATTCTATTACAGTGAACCACATTATTTTAATGGATTTCTTCGCCAGTTAGTCGTCTGTCACTTCGTTTGTGCTTCTACGCTAATTTCGCCCACCGCCAAACACAATTCGGACAATTCCTTCTCCTCGAACACATGGTAATACCTGAGAAAAGTTACCTTCGCTTAGTGCTGCTGCCGTTCTACGTCACGCAACTTCCAAGGAACCAGCAAATCCTGATGCTGGAACTACGTCCTGTTGGTGGGAATCGGAAGCACCGATTCCCCGTCGCCATGTTTAATCTCCAGCTCTCCATCCCGCGGTGGTTTATTGTTGTGCTTGTTCTGCCGTACATAGCATGATTTTTTTGCATTGGCTTCTTAGCATTGATTTTTAGCCCAAACGTAAATCAGTGCCCGTCCTCCTGGGCGAAGTACTCGATACATTTCCCCAATTGACCACTTCATTCGAGCAGTTAAAATGACGTTTACTACCACTCAAACTTTGAAATAAAACATTGTTTTGAGATTTTTTCTTCTAGAACCTCGAGAAAAGTAGCCAAAATTTGTGCGTTTCATAAAAAAAATAGAAATTAGTTGGTCCATTTTTGTGAAATCGCTGGTAGAAAGTCACGCCAAAACTGCATGACAAAGTGGTCAATTGCTTACCCACGACGTCCCAGCGATGCCAGGTGATGCATAACAGCTATGCAGATGCAAGCATCGGCACATGCCGCTTTAAAAGGTAATGCTAGGCAATGCGACTGCTTATCATTCTGTTAGGCCCTTGTCATTCTGAACGCTAGAAATATTTGAATGAACGCGCTAACATGTAGATTATTCTGAAAACAAAATCAGGATTCTGGACTACTCCGCATGTCGAAGGTTCGTTTAGTAAAATTAATAGACCTCTGGGCTCCAAGAAGTTTTCAAGATTCTTAGGATCAATTTTTTTCTAGCCGAAAAATCACGAACTTGGCAGAACTTCGAAAAATGTTGAATCGATTACATTGCACTGTGGCCAAGAAGCCGTATTTAGGTGGAATAAATTATTGCTGATTGCATCTGAAAATGGACTGCCCCAAAAATGCAAAAAGTGTGATAAAAGTGCACGTATTCGTAAAATCGTTTTGATGTCTTCGGAGCACTTATTGCTTGCATCATAAGGAATAAGTGCACCGAAGACACCAAGACGATTAGACGTAAACTTGCCGTTTTATCACACTTTTTAATAAGTGAAAACGCGCTTATTAGTCCAATTTGGTGTGAAACGCGCAATATTTGTTCCGTAATCATTAGTTTTAGGTAGAGAGGATCTAGTATAAGAGAAGACCGGACTGGCTGATTTTGAGCCAAACGAACTGTCAAAGCCAGAGCCAATCGAGCAACGCCTATCTTGATTTCATTGGCATTGTTGCTAGAAATCGCCTGGGCATAGGTTGCCACGGCAGTTTGTTTTGAATCCGTTCCTCTCTTATACTAGACCCTCTCTAGTACGACCCTACCCTAAGGCCGTTCGCAATGCTGTTGTATTTTATAAGGACTGTTTCAATTGACCACTTTGTCAAGCAGTTTTGGCGTGACTTTCTACCAGCGATTTCACAAAACTGGACCAACTAATTTCTATTTTTTTGTGAAATGCACAAATGTTGGCTACTTTTTTCGAGGTTCTAGAAGAAAAAATCTCAAAATAATGTTTCATTTCAAAGTTCGAGTGGTAGTAAACGTCATTTTATCTGCTCGAATGAAGTGGTTAATTTGAAACTAGGACAGAAACGCACCTCTCGCAATGTTGAGTAGCAGTTTCATTATTCGAACACTATTTTGCACAAGATTTGCAACTGTTCGACTATTCTGTTTTATTTCTGAGCGAGTTTGAAACACGAATGGGACTCTGTTTCAAATTTCTTTGGATGTATTTAAAGATGTTTCGAAGAGCTTCACAAAGAAAAACGGAGAACTTCATTCACACAAAAAATTATCATTGATGAAATTGAAAAAACCATTGGTAGAATTAAAAGTTTGCGTTGGTTCTTTTTGGTAGAAAGTCTTTTGCATTCAAAACAAAAGTCAGCCAACTGTCAATTAAAAAATAACTCGTTTTTTACTTTTAAAAGTAGAAACTTTTAAATCGAATTGTAGAACTGTCAAAATAAAATCCATGTTTTTTAAATAGACTCACGAAAGGATTTAATTTAAAATATGGGCATTTTTATCGCAACGATGTATGTTTTGATCTCAAATATGAATTATTTTTAATTCAACTGCTATATGCTTTCAAAAAAAAACAATAGAAATATTTTATTTAATGTATTTTCGTTTATTTATATTTTTGATGATGACTGAAAGGGCACTGCATTGTGGAATCTTCCATGAGAAGCATTTTACGCAAATGATACAGTTGGTGATGGTCCCACCCAGCCTTCTTTTCCGGCAAGACTGACGAGGCTGCTCAAAACACATAAATTAGTAAAATCGGAAGCAAGCTCGAAAGTATTCGAAAATTTCATCAACCTACCTCCAAATCCCGTAACTGGAATATCCTTTCGATCCTTCCACTCGATAGCGTCAGAAGATAAACAAGCGCGCCGGCGGATGAAAATGTGGGACACTTGAAGAAACTGCTGCTCCTCACGTTAGCTGCTGGTCTCGTTTTTTTTCACATGTCCAATTTGGCGGGAAACGGTGGTCCAGTACTGTCAAAAACTTTGCAATGAAGAGATTTTTGACAGTTTTTCGCCTTTTATTCTAAAAAAAAAACACTTTTAAAATTACAAGCCGAAAGTGAAAGAAACACTTTTAACCCAAAAAAATATGTTTTATTTTGAAAATTTTCATAGTTAAAACTACGAAATTTGGGAAACTTTTAATTTGATCATGCATTATTTTTAAAGCAACAATTTTTGTTCTTTGTGTGTAAAAAATAGTAAAGTTTATGGAACATGATGATTACAAACATCTTTCAGAACTGAGCGTTGCGTTGATCGTGTTGCAGTTTTATTTTTGACAGTTTCAAATTATAGAATTGTCGAGTAGTTTAAAACAATTAACCACTTCATCCGAGTAGATAACATGACGTTTACTACCACTCAAACTTTGAAATGAAACATTATTTTAAGATTTTTTCTTCTAGAACCTCGAAAAAAGTAGCCAACATTTGTGCGTATCACAAAAAAAATAGAAATTAGTTGGTCCAGTTTTGTGAAATCGCTGGTAGAAAGTCACGCCAAAACTGCTTGACAAAGTGGTCAATTTTACAACTCAGCATTGCGAAAGGCCTAAACAACTCAACTCTGTTTTTTTATGGACCACCCTGAGCTGCAACATTTGTCTCAACCTTGCAACATGTTGAATTGGGATGTTTTGAAACACAACATAAGTCGAGCACTCAAAAGTGTTGTTGCGCGATTCACTGGAGCACCCCTCGATTTGGTTTTCTCCAAAATTTTGTTGACTTGACGGATCAGATTGAAAAACTGCGCTGCAGTAAAAACAACAAAAATATTTTATACGCGAAATACAATCGGAATTTATTCACTCAAATGGTAAGTTTTTCGCATAGTTTACGGTGAAACATATTTTAAAAACGTCCAACTTTCAGCATAACCCAAAATGGACATCTCGCTGAAGGTGGTGGTGAAGCTTTCCTCTCCGGAGAAGCAAGATGCTGCTGCCCTGGAAGAGGAGGAGGATGACCAACAGGAGCTGGTGATAGCAGCGGGTCGGAAATTTCGATTTTCCCGTGTCTTCCGTGGCGAAACGGATCCGCGGGAAATCTACGCCGAGACGGTTGCTGGCGTTACGGAAGCAGTGCTGGAAGGGTATGATTTTTCGATTGTATCGTACGGGGAGCGGGGAAGTGGAAAGAGTTTTGCGTTGTACGGCAATGGTGCGAGCGAGGGGATTCTGCTGTGCTTTGTGAGGGATCTGTTTTGCCAGCTCGGAGGACATCCGGAGCGGATGTATTCGGTGGGGGTCGCTTGGACTGAGATAACGAGCGACGGGGATGTAATCGATGTGCTAGGGGCGGCAATGATGCAATGCTTTACGATCGAGGAAATTTATGGGTTGTTGAGCTTGGGGCTGCACAACAGGAATCCGGAGAATCATAACATATTGAGTTTAATCCTGGAGCAGCAGTGGACGGCGTTGAATGGGTTGAACCAACATCGGCAATCGACGATTAGCTTTTGCGATTTGACCGGGACGGAACGGGAGGTGGTGGAGGGAGCGAGTAGGCTGAAGGATTCCGGATTAAGGAAGCTGGAGGATATCGTTCATAAGAGAACCGAGGATTACAATGAGTCTATTTTGACGGCTTTCTTGAAGGATTCCTTCGGAGGGAGAGCCCAGACGTTGATGCTTCTGTGCGTGAAGGAATTGGAAGGAGAGAACGGAATTAGGAATCTGGAGTTTGGAGACAAGGCACAGGAGATAGTGAACCACGTGGTGATGAACACGTTTTCGGATAATAACGTGCCTGTTGTAGCACTCAATGAGGATCTTTCTGCGGGGATACCGCAGCCTAATTATGACGGCCTGTACTTTGCTTCGCAGCAGTGGTCGAAGCTACTGAAGAACGCTGAGAGTTTGTTCAATAAAATATTCAGTACTTGCGAGCTTACTCAGCAGGAACGAAGTCAAATCGAAGAATGGCTCTACCTGAAGGCGGAATGTGACGATTGTTTCAGTTCGACTGACATCAGTATTAACGCTGGCAATCAACCGGCGAGAGTTTGCCTTGGTCCGATAGAGGAAATTGACGAAGGAGACGATACCTTGAAGAGCAGCGGCAAGGTCAATACCAGTGAACAGTGCAATTCGGATAACGAAAGCGATTCGGACATTTGCACCCATCTGACGGACATGACTGATCGAATTCAAGGCTACATGAGAAATTTCCAAGTCAAAACGAACAATCTGATCAACGAAAAGTACAAAGACTTCTTCCAGGCTCACCCGAAGATGATCGATGATTTTAATGAGGAAATTCGTCAACAGGAGAAGAAGAAACAGATTGCACCGGTGCACAACCCGGCTCGAAGGAAGTCAATCTACGATGCAGATTCGATTAGCAGTAATGAGTTGTCTTTGATGTCTCACCTGCGAAGCAATTCTACGACTTCACTGGCACCCGGTCCAGTGATCAACAGCAAACGACTCGACACTCTGAATAACAACCTTCGCATAACGGTGGCAGGAATCGATTCTCTGCACGCTCAAATCGAAGAAATCAGACGCACAATTTCCCTGAAGCAAAAGTACATAACAGATCTGATCGAGAACAGCGAAACTCGATCGGTGGCCAAGTCTCGATTCAACAAGAAGAAGCGCAACTTGGAGGATGAATATGAGAAAGCGAAGAAGCAACTGACCAAGGCAGTTGTGAATGGAGCGGACAAAAAAGAGATTAACCATCTAAAGGGGAAAACTTCCCAACTCGAACAGAGACTGAAGGACCTGGACTCGATTCGATACATTGCCGGGGAGTCGGGTCATAAGAAGAAAAAGCTACAGCAGTCGATCAAGGACTCCCAAAAGCAGCTCGAAGTGCTGCAGAAGATGCTTAAGAAAGAACTGGACAAGAAGGAGACGATCGAGAAGGAGATTGAAGTCGTGAAGAAGGAGAAAACGTCGAAAATCAGTGCCATTCAGGAAATTAGCGAAGGCAAAAGTAAGATTAAGAACATGAACGAAAGAATTTCACATATCGAACACGTGCTCAAGGAAAAGTCGAGTAATTTGAAGAAATACGTTAATAAAAAGTCCGAAAAGGACTCCCTGCGGCAGGAGATTATCAATCTCCGAAGGACTCGGGATCACTTGCTTGATCAGAGGTGCAATCTGGATAAGAAAATCCGCGAAGACAAGATGCCATCTTTCGACGAGGAACGTAAGCTGGTGGAATGTGACGAAGCTATTGAAGCAATTGACGCTGCCATAGAAATGAAAAATGAACTCATTTGCGGCAGGAAGAGTATCGATACCGACGAGAGTCTGCAGCGGGAGAAAGGCGAACAGATGCTGATGGCCCGGCTGAATAAACTCTCGACGGACGAGATGCGAACGCTGCTCTACAAGTACTTCCAGAAAGTGGTTGATCTGAAAGAAAATAGCAAAAAGTTGGAAGTGCAATTCATAAGCCTGGAGCGGGAACGGGACACCTGGGAGTGGCAGGAGAAGATTTTAACCAATGCCATCCGCCAAACCCGTCTGGAGAAAGAACGCTCGATAATCGCTCTCCAGAAGCAGCACGAAACCAAACTGAATCTCATGCTGCGCCATTTTGCCGCCGATACATCGGCTTCCATCGGCAGTTCCATCCCGGAGAATGCCCTACACCCATACTCGCCAACGGGTGACCTGGTGCTCAGTCCGAGTTCCAGCCGATATCATCACCATCATCATCAGCTCAGCGCACTAGACTCGGACTCGGAGCCAACGCCGCACAGTAAACATCTAGCTACCCATTTCAAAACTAGCAATGTGGCTGCGGCTGCTGCTGCCGCATCTACCGTTCAGCCCCTCGTCGCCGCTGCTGCCGCCGCCGAAAAGGACCGCAGCAAGAACAAGCTATTCTCCAAGCTACAGGTCCTCACGCGCTACCACAGCGATAAGCGTAAAATCTTCCAATCCGATATACCGCAGCAGAATCTCAAACAACTACAGATCTCATCCCGTCCCTCGCTCACCAAGGTCACCCGCGAGAAGAACAAAATCATCATCCAGAGTGATGGCGGAAAGTAACCCTGTAAGCTACAAATCTCTAACTGTACCTTAGCAAACAAATATCCTCTATTTTCTGACTCCTTACAAAATCTCGAACACGAGAATACTCTCTCTACTATTGTAGTTTGTCCTGTTAGAATTGATTGTCGTTTAACAACCGTGGCCAATCGATGAAAGTGAATGCACAAAAAATAGGTGTTCTGCTCTCTGTTATTATAATTAACATGACTCTATGTACCACAACTACCTAAAACTACCTGAGTGTTGTAGTCCTTCTGACGTATTGCATTTAAATAAATGTGTTTGCTATCTTTCTGGTAGTAGATTTACACCTTTCGTGTCTCGTAATCGTAACAAAGAAAATGTGTTTTTTGTATCCGAAAGCATTTTTGACGTAGGACTACGTCTTTGATTTCTATATGGGGGTACACTTTGTGAAAACCGAAAAATAGAACATGTAACAAATTAAGAAAGATTTTGAACGTTAATAACTCAGCTGCCCCTGGTTCAATTTCAATAATTTTATCACCAATCGATCAGAAATATGGTCACGTATCGATAACAATGCTTCCGAATGTTGATTTTCAACAAGAAACTATTGAAAAACTGGTGAATATCCTGCATTGTCCAAAAGCGCCGAAATAACTAACAAATCCACCAATTACCTACATGCAGTCGTCAGAGAGTAGTAAGTAGACGAAACAAGCGATTATGAGTGAACTAAACTCAAATTTGGGTCGTTCTCATTCGCCGTGTACGCAAAAGGAAAAGAGCCAGTCTCGCTACTTGATAGCAAACTACTCATAATGGGAGGAGTCTTTGTAGCTTTTATACCACTTGGTTGCACATAATTCTGCTTTAACCTGAAAAAATATAAAAGAGCGCTGCTGTATGGCATTAGCTCATTTTCGCTACGGGCGGTGAACAGCAATAGCAGCAGTAGGAAGGTGGTTGCTAGTCCACTCCTTCACAATTAACAAGCAACAATTGACTGGTCGTGGCAAAGGAGGAAAAGGTCTGGTAAAGGAGGCACCAAGCGTCATCGTAAAGTTCTTCGAGATAACCGCCATCGATCGTCTGGCTCACCGTGGTGGTGTCAAACGTATCTCCGGTCTGATCTACGAGGTATGCTGAAGGTGTTCCTGGAAAATGAGGTCCGTGATGCTGTCACCTACACTAAACACGCCAAGCGTAAGTGGCCATGGATGTCCTCTTCAATAAAACGGCCCTTTTCAGGGCCATCAAGCTAACATCAGTAAAGAGTTGGAATAGAATTTATCTGTGCTTGTTTGTCCATATTCAGAACCACAAGCCCCCAACGACCACACAAAATGCTCTCCAGAGTTTTAATCTTGTAACCAAACTTGGAAGCAGGGGTGCAAGTGATTTTGATTGATTCTCTTAATCAACTTTCTCTTTTGAAAAAAATTACTACAAATTTGGCACGCATACAATTCAAAAACGGAAAGAGTTGAGATAACAGATAATTGATCAATTAAAAGAACTAAATGCTCTTCACATTTATTCCGTCCACTAGCGGTCCTACGTCAAGCTTCCGTTCGTGCCCCTAGGCACAGACACTTCTACTTTTTTGATTTCAACGATCGAGTGATAGACATCCAGTGGTGGTAAGCTCCTACTGGTGTTATCCTCGGATTAAATTCCGATCACGAATGTCGATGTTAATTTTAACCAATACGATTCTAAACAAACATTTCAAGAATGATTTTTCAAAAGGACGTTTCTTTAAGATTCAAACATCAATTTGTCGAAACGCTTAGCACCGACGAACCGACGTGACAGCTCATACAAACTACTTTCAAATACGTTAAACACTACCAACATCTACTCATCCGATCGCGTCATACCATGAGCAAGGACACGAACCCACGTATAATTTATATTGCCTTGGTTTGCGTCTCACCTCGTTTGACAGATCTGATCGCTCGTTTGAAAGTTCGAATCACTCGTCCGACAATTCGAATTGTGCACAAACGAAATGCTCCTGTGGCATGTCGGTTCGTCAGTGCTCTTAGAGCTCTGCATCGCAAACTAACACCTAACATAGGTAGCTTTCATCCATACAAATTCAAATTTCATCTGTTTTCATCGTATCTCCGTTTCCATCGTAGAACATCGACAAATGTCTTTCCAATAAACATAGGTACATCATTTTAGACTTTATTTGCCAAACACATAAATATAATTCAAGACATTCAAGACATGAAGAAACGGGCTCAAATCGAATTATTCACATACCCACCCATCGGCGAAGACACGTCAGGCGATTGATGCTGTTGCGGATGTGCCAAGGCCATCATCGGTGCCGTAGCAACGGCAGCGGCAGCAGCTTGCAATAGCGACACGGAATGCTGTTGATTCAAGTCTGACGACTGTTGCTGGTGCTGGTGCGACGTTGCCGACGACGGTTGCGGTTCCTGTTTCAGCTCATGCTTCCGGTGTGTCTTCATGTGCGTCTGCAGCGCCACCGACTGAATGAAACGCTTGCCGCAGACTTTACACTCGTGCGGTTTTTCGCCGGTGTGGGTCATGACGTGGTGCTTCAGGGTTTCCGCCTTGCCAAACGAACGATCACAGTACGTGCAGTTGTATGCTTTGATGCCACAATGGACAATCTTGATGTGGCGGCTCATGTTGCCTGCGCGGATTTTGTAAGGAGAGAGCATTCATTTAGATTCGTTTGAGGATGCGAACAACAAACTTACCGATGTTGGAAAAGACCTGAGCGCACACGTGGCAGGTGAATTGCTTCTCCTTGGTGTGATAGTTCATGTGGACCTTTAACTCGTGACGGGTGGTCTTCTTCAGACCGCAGTAAGGGCAAACGTGATTTCTAACGCCCTGTAAAATAAGAATCTCTTTGATAAGTTGAAAACGGATCTTTGCCCCAGAGATTACGCACCTCATGTCTCATGGTATGTTCTTTCAGCTTATGCGCCGTCGGAAGTTTCTTGTTACAAACCTGGCATTGGAACGGCATTTCTCCAGAATGGATGTAGTTATGTTTCTGTAAAAACAAAATCAACATTTAAACTATTTTTTTTAGCATTCTACCTAGTCATTACCTTGAGTGCTCCGGCAGTAGAGAACGTCTTTCCACACTGATCGCAAACGACGCGCTTCGGTTCCGGTTGGATAAAGTTCGGATCGTGTCGCTTCCGGTGGTTATTCAATCCCTGCTTGGTGGAATAACTCGATCCACATTCGGGAAAGTCGCACGTGAACTCGTTCTTCACGTCCGAGTGCTTCCGGTTCATATGCAGCTTAAGGTTGTAAAATTTATGAAACTCTTTACCGCACAAATTGCACACGGCCGCCTTCAATCCCTGATGGGTTCGCAAATGGCCCTGCAGTCGCTCGTCGGTTCGGAACTTTTTCTCGCACAAGTTGCAACCCAAAAGCACCTCCTTTGGACCATCTCCCTTTTTCTTCTTCTTCCTTTTCTTTTTCTTCGGTTCCTTGTAATCGTCGGCACTTGCATTGTCCAAGTCTGATAGAAGCTCGGTGTTTAGTTCCTGATCGGAAGTCTCATCTTTTACCTTCGTATGGTTATCTTCTTCGTAGTCGTCGTCGTCGTCGTCGTCATCATCGTCGTCGTCTTCGTCATCATTGAGAATATCGTCCTTAAATTGCACTTCTTCACAATCGTCCTCATGGGTATCCAAACTTTCCACCTTCAAAGGCCCTACCAGTGGTTTACATTCTACCATCACAATGTCCGCATGGTCGAGATCGATTTCTGTTTTCTATAAAACCGATAATATTTGAGCAACATATCCCGAGAAACATAATGCATTCATGCTTACAATTTCCGTGAGCTTATAGTGAACCTGTAGACAAACTGACCGGAAACGGTTGTACTCCAGCAGCTTCAAGTGGCAATCATCGCAGATTCTCTGCCGGTTGGGATCTTCGTCTGGTGTCAGCTGAAACACACGCCCAGAACCAGTCATTTAGATATACTTCTTTTGAAACCCATTTTACACGTAGATACGTACCCTAATCGATGTGAGATTGAAGTAGATATCGAAATATTTTTGCAAGCTCTCCCTTAGGTGGCTCTGGTCACCGGGATAATCGCCGCATGCCCGGCACATAGCCATTTTCACTTGCGCTCACGATTCACCACTTATTCGCACTGACAAATCTTTAGTTAAGCAACAATTAAATCACTTAAAATTAAAAAAAATCCGTGGATTTTTTTTTATCAAAACAAATTAATGATTCCAACCCGCAGCATAAATTTTGACAACGAAGCATAAACAATCGCTCATATTATAAAATCAAAACGTCATGTTGCGCGAGAAGAAACCAATGGTATGAGCCTTAAGGTCGAAAAGTTTATTCCGGGAAAAATGTTTTTCTGATGATTTTTCCCCCGGAAAACTGTTGGTTGGCCTCAAGATCCGCGAACCCGTTTTGGATCCGATCCATTTGACAGTTTGATCCATGAACTAACTGTCAAAGCTCTCGCTCTATGTTTTTTATTATTAGAGTCACTTTAACACTCTTGGGTCATTCGTTACTTGCCCGGGGATGAGATTTGAACTCGTGGTTTTGGCGTCAAGGAACGTGTGTAAAGGAACGTTAGTTTTTTCGGCCGGTGATCTTTGCCGTAAAATACGCTCATCACGCAATAACGTTGCTGTTTTGATACAAAACAAATGGGGCTAGGGGCGTCTGTGGGGGTTTGGTGAAAAAGTTTGTACCAGTGGCGTCGCGTCCACATGTGCAACCTGTGCACGACACAAGTGTAAATGCGTTTAGATTTTTTATAGATTTTATAGCTGTACTTCTTTACTCCAGACCACAAGTGACCATGAATACACTATTTTATAGCGTGGCTCAATTCAATCTTCGACCTTGGTTTGCTTCAAAAAGGATTAAATTCAGTTCGGATGGTCTGCCTAATCCCTAATGCATTTATTTCTAAGCATGTCGATATCACTACCATGACAAAACTCGTTAAATAGTGTACCTAAAACGCCTAAAACCGAGCTTTTTTGGGTGGCAAGTTTGTGAATGGTCAAATGCCTGATGTAAGCCAAGCAGACCTTCTATCACCTCTTGAAACATACCACAAATTTTCCACAATACATGGCGGTTTGCACCACTAGTTGTAATTCAAACTTTCAGCAGTCACGCGTCAAACGGGAGCAACACGGAAACAGCAGTCTGGTACACGCTATTTCAAAACTACCCAAATTTGGGTAGAATCCACCCAGATCCGTCAAAACTGAACCTACCCAAAAATGGGTAAACTGTGTTGGGAGTGACAAGTTGACAAATGAACAACGTCGATCGGATTGATGTCAATGTTGTTCATTTGTCAACTTGTCACTCCCAACACAGTTTACCCATTTTTGGGTAGGTTCAGTTTTGACGGATCTGGGTGGATTCTACCCAAATTTGGGTAGTTTTGAAATAGCGTGTACGCTTTGGACGTGTATCATACTTGCAGACCGGTATGAATGTGTGAGTTTAAATTAATAGAACATTTGTGAAAACTGGGTGCCCAAAGCGTGCATTTCTCGCTGTGCACTTGGATATCTGATTGCAGGCAAAGAGAGTAAAGCTGGGTTTAGACAGGGCAAGTCAATTGATCAAGTCAGTTGAATTCAACTGACTTGAACGCGAATTGAACGTGTAAACCATGCCATTCAACTGACTTGATCAACTCACTTGAATTGAAAAAAGTTGAACCAGGCTCAACTTTTCAAGTCAATTGAATTCAACTGAGTTGATCATTTGACTTGCCTAGTCTAAACCCAGCATAATGGAGAAAGAGAGCGCAAAAGCTCGCTCTAAAGGCCACGCACATTAGATCCGGATCGGAAGCGTTGCGGCAAAGTGAGAGCTAAATCTATTGTCTAACTGTCAAATTTACGTCAACGCAGTGCAAACGGATCTAATGCGGGTGGCCCTTAATTCACTTGTCAGTTATAAATCTCTCAATTACCGATGGTTGCGCCGGTGCGCCTGTCAAAACTTATGAGCTTCCCCAGGTTCATTCTGATAGTATTGTTCTGATGAATTAAGAGTTAATTAATAAGTTTGCTACCCAGAGGACTTCATTAATTTTCTCTAGATATTGACACTGTTTTGTAGCAAAAAATGTTTTCGGAAGTTTTTGACGGATATTCTTCATTACACTTCAGTCGAAAGAGTTAGCCTTGTGATAAAAACGAGAATCTGTTAAATTTTGCAATTCCTCCTAGTTCGGTTAGCGTGAAAAGGGCCATACAAATTTTGTTGTTGTAGCTGTAAGGCCCTTCAAATGTTACGTTAGGTAGTGATTAATATAGTAATTGAGAATATGTCCCTCGAATTCATGGAGCACTGCAAAATAAAAACAAAACTAATATGTGGTGGTAAACTATAACGAACAAAGTTTGGTGAACAGGTAAACAAATGAGGCACGCGACGCCTCTGGTTTGTACGTTTGTATTTTCCGGTTTTAGCAATCGAGACCCTCACAGGTTTCATCCTCAAGTACATGTCCCCACCGGAGCTGGTAGCCGGAAGGCATATCCACTCGCTTGCTCTAAGCATCTGGATGCCCAGTACTACGGTAGCAAGATCCTGGCAAATTTCATGACCATTTCAAAGAAAAAAGTGCCCTGCAGAAAGCCATGTGAGTGATTTAAGAAAATAGCCAACACTTTAATGAACTGGTAGAAAACGAGATCATTTCCTTATTTAAATATTGCATCCATTTAGGGCCCTCCCTTAGCTCAGTCGGTAAAGGCGCAGCTACAAAGCAAAACCATGCTGGAGGTGGCTGGGTTCGATTCCCGGTCCGGTCTAGGAATTTTTCGGGTTGGAAAATTTCTCGACTTCCCTGGGCATAGAGTATACACTGATAAAATTTCAAAGATTGTTTTTATGTGTCCCACACATGAATTTTTGTAATGTGATCCTCGATGTGATCAACAAATGATATTTATGTGTCGGACACATACTTAATATGTGTACACATAGAAGCCATGTGTAACCACACATACTATTCATTTGACTCATAAATTTCATTTGTGCATCTAGGTGGATTATGTTTATGTGTGGTCACATGAAAATCATGTGGAATTTGACATGGAAATTCGTCAATAAAAATGTGTGGAATTGTATTAGTGTATGATTGTAATTGCCACACAATTATACTAATGCAGAAATAGTACATGCATCGAAAGCTCTCAATTAATAACTGTGGAAGTGCATCTAGAACACTAAGTTGAGAGCACGCTATAAGCTAATATGCGATATGCAATAAGCTTGAAATGCGAAGAAGAAAGATCCATTTATTTTCTTCATTCATTGTTTTCGTTTCGTTATCGAACTGACATTTGCATGGTCAGATTTCAAAACTATATGCCCTACAAATTTTGTTTTCGTCACAAATTAGATCAGATCCCAAAGCAAACCAGAGTAGCTCGGAGCATCTATGAATAAAAGAAGTACTCATATGAAAGCCGTCTTCCCCCTCGGGTGCCTTGGTGGACCGTCCTGTCCACAACATTTAATGATTCATATTATAATGGAATGAAAGTTAAGAAGAAAAAATAAAAGAAATATCTCACCCGATAGGTTGCAAAAAAACCCATGATATCACGTTGATAACGATGATTTCAAAGAGCTCCCATAGATATGCTGCCGCTACATCTTCAACCGGTGTTTAAAACAGCGCCTTTTGTTCCTCACAGCAGTGAAAATCCCCATCAACCGCGAAACACACTCTAGCTGCTCCATCTAGAGAGGCAATAGAAATGTGTCGAATTTTTTGAGTGTATCAGTTGACTTATACATTTTATGAATAATCAGCAATAGAAATTTGCCAAAAGGTGTAAGGAGATTTCTATCCAGAAACACTTTCCGATACCCAAAAACACAAGAAACACAATCAACAGAGGCACAAGGTGGCAGACTGACTTACCCTCTGGACTTTCTGCTATGTTGTCAGGTGTCCATATTCAATCATTAGTTAACGGGTGTTAGAGGGTCACAATCGACAATGTTCAGGCAATCTTTCAATGCGTGGTAAATCGCACCGGGAAAAATCATATATACTCATCCCGAGTAACAATTTTGGATTTATCATAGTCTTGTAGGTTATAATTTGGTCTCGAAGCATCCTTTAAAGCTTTATAAAACTTGCAATGGTACTCGGCAATTTTTGCGTTGTTTCTACTAGCTTAAAGAGTAAATTTTTAGAAACTCTTTTGGTGTCATTAGAACAAAAGTGTTTGAATTCTTTTGCTACAGTTTTCCGAGTAAAGTAGTTCTACTATAAAACCTGAGCGATACATATCCTGTTACGAAGCTACTTGAAGACAGAGAAGCAGATTCATGCAAATAAAAAAAAAAAGTTCGACCTCAAACTCCTTGAATGCCCGCATTCAAATGTTCGACACCGGACCAGTGGTGGAAAAGTTCGCGATAACTTACTATGACTCGCGAAATTTTCCCATGGTGAATTTCGTTAAATATCGCAAACTTTTCCAACACTGCACCGGATACAAACAACAAACTAAAAAAATAAATCATGATGCTTGGTCCAGAGATAAATTAAAATTTAATTAATTAATTATGTTACACAAGTTTAGTCAAGACATCGTATTGTTGTGGTTAATGCAGTCACCGGGCGGTCCCTTGTTTCAGCGTGAGAGTATTCGTGAACGAGAAGAATATATAGGATAAATGTCAGTCGAATTGTCAGACGATACAAATGTCAAATGTAGAATTGCTTTGTCATTATCTGGTGAATCGAGTGCAACATTATATATTATTACGTAAATATTATACTACAGTAAATTAGTACCTTTTATTTGATTTATATTCTTGTTTCTAGACTGGATAAGAGAAAATTGAATTCTTTATTTGTTACATTCATTGGTACATTGTGTAAGGAGACTAAATGTAAGAAAACATGAATTTATATTGTTGCTATCCTAACCTTAAATAAATTTACAGCTTTGAGCTATCTTGATCGGGAACACAGACGAGTTGCTTTGAAGACCTCCGAAACAATTTCAACATAATCTCAAAGATTTATAGAATACCGAGAATGGAGAAATCGTTTGTTCGTCAGACTCGTTCCAAGACCAAGGCTGCCAAACAGTC